GGGTGGGGGGAGGGGGAGGGGAGGTGCTCAGACAAAGGAGTACCTAGATAGAGTGATTAAAAAATGTAGCATTTTACCCAGTCTTGTCTCTTTTTCCAGCACTAGTAATAACAGCAGCTGGAGCCAAAGGGACCAAAACTTGTTTGCCTTTTCTGTGAAGAAGAAACAAAAACATGAGACATCTTAGTTAAGCATGGCCTGTGCTAAGAAGCTTCTCCTATTCCACAGTCATCTCTCTAACACAAATAGCAACAAGTGTCCTGATCTGCTGCCAAGGCATTTGTGCCACTGCAGTGTCCTGTATACTTCACTAAATTAAATCTAAACTATCATAATATGTTTTGCTGATGAAGCTTTCCCCCTTAGTAAGAAGTGAATGAGAGCTCAGGTAGAAAAGAGAGTTACATGCAGAGTTCAGGGTCAAAATGCAGCAGCTTCTGTTTTGCTGCCCAGCTGAAATCACAGGCATACAGGGATAGCTGTTCCAACTCCTATTTATAGACGCTGGATTATCTCCACTGCTTAGCAGCTGTGAACACTTGAGTTACAGTCACTGAAGTTAAAAACTGACTAAACAATTAGCTCACTAAATTCATTCTTCTCCTGCTCCCTGGAACAGATATTTGCTTCTCTCACATATATATAATTTTAAACTGATTTTAGTCTAAAACAATAAGAAATAAGCCAAAAATGAGAGTTTCTGGTTTTCTAATTAGCAGATCTGTTGATAAAGCATGAGAAATTGCATAGAACACAGTGTATCCCCAAATGAGATAAACATAAAATATATGATATCTGAAACAATATGCATAGTCACTACCTACATTAAATACGCACACAATTAATCTTCATTGATATAATAATGTGGCTAAGTATTTCAAGAAATGAGCGCCAAGAATGAGAATTTTATTCCTATGCCAGCCCTAACATCCTCATATTGTACATACAATTGTGTACACACATGTACACCTGTATGAAAGTTATGTGAATTTAAATTTAAGAGTTTGTATATGCATTTTCCTCAGGTTTGTGTACTTACAAATCCAGAACATACTTCATTTTGTCGATGGGACACTTTTGTAATTATCTGTACAAATTATTTAAATTGCTTGCTAAAAAAAACAACCCTAATTACTAGTTGACCACTGTAAATAAAATTAATTCCATTATATTGGTCTAAATGGATTCTTTAACCTCTTGACTAGTATAGCTATTTTTTTTCTCTTCAGAGAAATATAATATTTTTTCTAGTTCAAGGGCACTAATGCTGACATACAAATAGATCAACCTAGTCAGACCAAAATTAGGAAGGTCTCTTTTCCAAATTAAACAAAAATAACTCTGCCACAAACTGCATGATAACTATATAGACTAGATTCTGAATTTTCTTGGATTCCCCCACTCTAGAGCTATCACTATCCCATCCTGGATTCCATAACAGGAGATCTCTGCAGTCAGCTCTTAAAGAAATAGAGCATTACCGTTGATTCAAGGCATTAATTTTTGCAAACAGTGCCCTCAGAACACATTCCTTCTGTTCCCAGGTCAGCTCACTGATATCGACCTTCTCTAACTGGGTATCTGTCCTGCAAAATTCAAGAGAAGATAAATGCTATTAGGAGAAAAAAAAAACAAAGGAAAGCCCTTAGTAATACCTATAACATATCCTGCAATTTCTGCACACGTAAAAAAGGGATTTTCAATCCTCATTGTGAAATCCCTGCATTTTTTTAAATGTCCCTCAGCTGCTCAGTGATATGTAGGCACAGAACCGAATCTTGGACTGTTAGGAGAGGGACTGCTTAATCAATCTTCCCAACTTCCAATGTCCTTCATTCTCTAAACTGGTAGGGTGGGACAATGGTTCAGGAACACAGCAGCAGTTGCCACCTTAGATCAGACCTTGTCTGGTATCGTTTCTCTGATAGTGGCCAGTATAGGATGCTTTTGAAAACGGGCAAAAAATCCCATAGTAGTCAGCTATGAAATGCCAGCCTCTGGAGGACAGTTCCTTTGAAGTCCTCATAAATTAGACTTAAATTCTGAAGCCCAAGAGTTTGCATCTTATCTGTGTGAGTGTGTGTTTTTACTCACCACTGTAACTGTAGATGTTTTCATTATCCACATATAATTCTAAGGCTTTGTTCATCCTATTAGACTATTCACTTTAATTATACTTTGTAACAGTGAGTTTCATATTGTACGTTCTGTGTAAGAAAGCCTTTTTTAAAATCAGTGTTAAGCATGTCACCGTTCCCCTTGGTCTAATATTACAGCAAGGTAAAATGAGCACATAATTTACTTTCTATTATTATTCATCATACTATTGACCTCTCTCAAATCCCCCCTTGTTTATCTTTACTTTAAAACAAACAACCTCAGTCTTTTCCCTCATTTGTGTGTGGAAGTCTCTCCAGATCTCTAATCACTTGTATCTTTTTGAACTCCCACTATTTCTGCTGTATTTTTGTGAGATTGGGTGCCCAAAACTAAACACAACAGTCCAGAAGACAGCACACCACTGATTATATTATAAAATATTGTGTTACTTCCCCTCTCATTCTTTATGCATTTTAACATTTTGTTTACTTTTTCTGCCCACTGCTACACATAAAATAGAGCTTTTAACCAGGAATGAGATATAGAGCCTTTGACTGTCAATTAATCTGCAGCACGCTTGACCTAAATTTTCAGGCAAAGCACTTATATTTGCCTGCAATGTAATGGAAATTTTCATAATCCTATAGCACTTTTAAATAAGTTGTTTAGTTAAACAGATTTAAAAGTACAAAAAAAATCAGTAGAATAACTTGGGCATTATTGTTTTTGACATTATATTACATTTATTTCATAAGATTTGCCACATTTTCTGTTTTTGATATATCTAAATTTTTTGTCTAGACTATGTAGAACTGCATTGTAGAAATCAAGGGGAAGCTGGAGGTTTTGTCAGGGGAAGGATGAAATTGGAACTTTTGACATGAGAGGCACAAGAGACTGGACATTAATTGGAAGTTTCTGTTACCATTATCAGCAGGAAAATAAATAATGTTGGTATTTTAACTGTCCTCTTCAGGTTAGTGTGCCCTTGGAATGAATAAGTCAATCCCTCCCAGAGCTATTCTTCCAAACTAACTGCAGACTCAGGAAGACATTACTACATTGGTTTTACTCTGGACACATTTGCAAAAATGTCTGCATAAGCAAGAATGCTAGATATGCATTATTTGTAGAAGGAAGTCTTATGTTCTAAAGTTCTATTACATAGCAAAGAGCAAATTCCACATCAAATTCTGCAGCCACAGAGTTGTGAAATATACAGAGCCCTATGTCTAGCTTATCATTTTGAATTTGATCCAGGACAGTAATAGAAAAAAGTGATAGCTTGATTGAAATGACTTGGCCCTTTTCTAGGTGACAGGTTTCTAAATCAAAAGTGGCATTAATTAACCATCAGAAATATTACCAAGGACTATGGTAAATGAGTCATAGAGACAAAACTTCTCTTTGGTTTTCAAATAACTAAGAAAAGGTTTGGGGACACTCTAGTAGCATCATGTGGGAGAAGTTTGTACTTCACTGTTCATACAGTACTTATTCCATGGCTTGATACTGCTTTAACTATATAATATATGGAACTTTACATTGATCCAGGCATGTAACTCCATGTCACCTTATCTGATATGGTTAGCAGATTAGTATTCCAATATGTCTGGAAACATACTGGGCTATATACAACCACACTGAGGCAAATAATGCCTATGAAGAAAATTAAGAAGGTCTGCCACATCACATGAAGCTGCTTGTTCTACTGGCTGGAAACAGAGAATCCACACCTCAGTTCAGTCAGCAAATGCAGGAGCAAGTATTGTAGTGTCTTTTCTCTTGCCTCTAAGTTCAAGGAAGCTACAGAGCCAGGCATCTTCCACATCCAGTCTTAACCAGGTAGCATGAATTACAGGGAAAACTGAGAATTTAATTATAACCAAGGAAGGACCTTGTAACCCAGAAAAGCAATACAGCACGAAGATTTATATATCAAATACTGAGAAGGAAGCATGGAAAATTTGTAAACTGTTTTATGTAAGTACTTGTCAATAGATCATACCTCTCACAAGAAACACTCATAATTTTCTCCCTTTTATTGTAGTTTTTGCTGGCTATTGCTGGCCTGCCAGGGTCTGGCAATGGATCCCACTTTAAGTCTAGCTAAGGAAAGCCTTGGTCCTACCTTTCCGCACACTGCTCCCTCCATTAGATGGATAAAAGAATCAGTTGCGGATCCAGGTACTTACTACTAAGTGTTCACTCTTCAAAAATGTGTGGGTAACCCTGCCCTATGAAGCCAGAGAACTTTAGTATCTGGGGCTATTAATGTACTATTGCCCTGAATCTCTCCTTTTGTGTTTTTCAGAGATGCAGCAGTCCTGACACTTCCATACCCGTCCTATGGAATCTGTAGTATCCTTGCTGAACATCTTCCCTCCTTACAACTATAGCAGCCTCCTTAAATATTCCCAATCTGGGTAAGATTATTGCATATACATTTTTTAGGCTCAGACCTATAGAAGGGTTGGAAAGGACCTTGAAGGTCTTCTAATCCAACCTCCTGCATAGATGCAGGATTTGTTAGGTTCAATTCCTGTGAACCAGGGGAATGGGCAAAATGGTTTCTATTGTTTCAGTCCATGTACCATTTTTCTGCCTCCCATGGATCGCTGTACATGTAATTTGTGCTGTTGAGGTGGCCCTTAAATGTTCTGATGTTAGGGTACTCTTCTTTCCCTGCAAATGCCGCCATCATTTTCCTCTGATAGGCAGTCTGGGCCAACTGCCTGCAACGCTTCCTGCTGGTTATTATCTCACGCTTCACCTGTTCCAGAGCTTCTAGGAAGAACCTTTCCACCTCAGTCCTTTCATCCAAGATGTTCTTGGCCAGTTTTTTCACTCGGTTCATCTCCCGATCCTTCATCTCCAGCAGTTGCTGCAGCTTGTTAACCTCTACCATACCTGCCTGGTTCTGCACTAAGGCCTGATGCTGTGTTTTCTGAATTTCTGTTTCAAACTCTCTGGTCATGTGATGTAGGGCTGTCTCCAGCTTCTCTACCTTGTGCTGCAAATCCTGGATCTGGGCTTTCTGCTGAGTTATTTGAAGGATCTTTTCCTGAACCAAACTGTCATTTGTTTCCTAAAGAACAAGAGAAAAGTATTTGGATTTTTATCTTAGTCACCCCAAACTATTAGATTTCTTCTGACAATGGCAGCACACGATTTACATCAGCATGGTAGATACTCTGGTGCCATCACACACTGGAAAGCAAGTAGTAAACTGGGCCCTGGACTCTGCTTATGAGAGATGCAAGTGGAAGACTGTCTTAACTGAACACTTGCCATTGCATACTTACAGCACATGGAACTGCCCAGAGAGGGCGCCATGGGAAACCTTTTCTCTTTCCCCTTCACAATTGGCAGAACAGAATAAGAGCCTGTTATTTCTTCACACAACTTCCAACTCCCTTAAATTATGGAAGCGTCTGATGGGGAAGATGTTAGTGCCAGTGAACTAGAATCTCTATCCAGGCTTGGATTTCAAGGGCTTCTTTCTGGGGGAGCCTGAAATAAAATTAGAAACCAGACCAGGAACCTTCTCCTGCAAGAGAAGAGCCTTGTCCTCCTCCAGCTGCTTCTTGATTTTTTGTAGCTCTTCTGACTCCTTCAGGTGGTAAGCAAGAGCCTCATGAAGACGAACATTCTCCTTGAACACAGCTCTCCCAGTGCTGTTCAACTGCCTGAACAAAGGAAACAAAGAATTTTCCTCAAATTTATTTTGTTCTTCGTGTATTAACATCAACACTTCAATGTCCTAATTCAAGATTAAAATTAGTTCATGAACTCTTTTTAGGCTGTGTCAAGTGATATAGCTTTTCTTCCAGCACTGGGAGTAGACAAGACAAGGGGGGGATCATGAGAGTATCACTGAGACAACATTGCCAAGTCACATACTTATATAGGTATGTCAGGGTGGTGATGGTGACTGTTTTAAAGTCCAAAAGGTCCTTTACCATTTCGTACCCCTCCCCCCAACCGCCCCGCCATGGCCCTGCTCAGTACTGTGATGTGGCCAGCATGGCAGTTACTTCTAAGGAAGAAGGGCAGTTATTTCTAAGAAAAAGTGTTGCAGTGGTTCTGCGACTTCTCTTTGTAACTGGGGAACAAAGAAAGCAAGTGGCTCTTACATAATTGCCTCATGGTGGGCTCTCTCTGCCAGAATTACTATCCTCTTCTCAGCATCTCTTTCTAGTCTTTGCTGAAAGGGAGAAATACAGACTTAAACCCTTGTCACCGCTACAATCACACACACAGCAGTTTTCTGAAATTGGGATTAAATGGCCCCTGGCACAAGCCTGTGTCCTAGGAGCAGTGAGTGGTGACTAGTCTGAAGCCCTGAATCCCCCTTGCTCCATGTGAGAGTAGGGAAAGAGTGGTGGTGATATGATCTCTCAGGGATTCTGACGCTTTCTTTCTTTCTCTGGAAAACTGTTGCCAGTTCCTAAATTATCTCATCATATTTTGACAGATGTGAAGGATCATAAAACTCTCATCAAAGGATGGCCAAAGCTACAAAAGTCTGAGCCAAGAGGGAAATTCATACTGCTTTAATCAAAGGAAGTATACCTTTTCCTCAAGAAACTTCTTTTCTAGCCTTCCAATTATCTCCTGATGTTCCCTGTTTGAAATCTGCATACTTTCTTTTATCTAGGATTTAAAAGAAAAAACCTTTAACAAAGGGCGTACTCTTTCAGCCTTCTACATAAAAATGTAAATGAAATTTACTAAAAAACACTTCCCTTTCTTTCTTTCACTGTCCACCTTGTTGTCAGATCCTTGCATAATTTCTGTTACTTACTACAGAACGTCTTTTTAGTTATGGTGTATTTTTATTTCTTTTCCATAGTTTACCTGCTCTTATATTTTCACATCACTGGCAAGCTTCTTTAACATATTCTCCATTATCTGTTAATAAATATCCAGAACACAGCACAGAACTCTTTCTAGTTTTGATTAAACTCTTCCCACTCAATTGGTCATTTATATCCAAAGCCCAGAAACCAGTACATAAGAATGTATTTCATATCTTACTTTAAAAAATGCTTTTATTATTTGTACTGTGGTACTTCAGTTATAGATCAGGGCCTCTGGGTGCTATACAAATATATCTTAAAAGACAGTCCCTGCCCTGAAGACTGTACAAACTAAGTGACTAACTTGATGGTACTACCTCTGTATTCCACTTGTGGCAGCACTGGTTACTGTAAAATCTATTACGTAACATTTACAAACCTATGTTATTTATAGCCCAAACACTGGGCTCCCCACATCTATCCCTGAGGAGAACATGTAGCAGCAGGCCCCGGAGTCCTTGCCTTGTACAGATATATCTGAATCAACTAATGGCAATGCAAACTCACCTTTGTGACATGCTTTGAGATCTATGCAACCCCCCTCCCCGCAACTATGGGTCTGATGTACGTTGTACAATATATTATAATTAATTATGCTTGGATCTGACTCTCTGATTTGAACACTTGCTATGTTTGTCCCCAGCACTGAGGCTAACTAGATGTTTCATAGCAATTTGTCCACTTTTGTAGTGATAGCAGAGGATGCTGAAGAAGCCACCCAGCTGAAGCTGAAAATAAATATCTGTTTTAACCAGCCAAGTCTAAGAAATATATTTTTTCTAGTTCAAGGGTACTTATGAGTTTTTTTAGCCCACCCAACAAAAGGAACTCTAGCTCTGGAACTTGTACCTTGCTGACCTATCAGTTTTCTCAGCTTATGGAAAAGTCTAACACAGTGATGTTCAACCTTTGACCTGCAGAGCATGTAATCTGACCTGTGAGACATCTCACAAGTCCAGAAATTTGGTGGCAGGGGAGCAGTATCAGCATTAATTGCTCCCAGAGCCATGACAATTAATGCTGCCACCCCTCCCCTTTTGCCAAATCGCTAGGTCTGTGTGGAGCCCTGTAAGCCAGATGATATGGCCCCATGTCATGTACCTGATTATGCCAATGCACACTTAGGCTGCAGCCAGGGTTGATTGGTACACAGGGTTGATTTCCTGCATAGGGTCACAATGCGGACAGATTTGGTACCCAGGATGACGCTGGTCTGTCAGACTGCACACAGACTGATGCTGCATACTGACAGCCCACTGGATCAGGCCTGTGGATCAAACCCACAGGGAGAATCTGACCTGTAGACCAGCCCTACACTCTTCATCCAGCTTGAGGAGCTAAAGACATTGAGCACCATGGTTGAACATATACTCTGTTTGCATCTTATGCTCTGTTCCTGTCAACCAGTCCCCACCCTGTTAAAGTGGCAGAATCAATTCTACATAAAGCATTACAATCAAAGTCCTAAGGAGTATGTGTTTAGGACTCGCACATGTTATAGTGATGAATGAGCAATCTTTATTAAGCTTTTGTTTGTATGGGATGTCACTAAACCATCTAAAGTTAACACTTATGGCAAACTTACATCTTCTAATTCTTTCTCCATATGTGCTTTCTTCTTGCGAAATTCCCTTATAACTTTCAGTTCTCCTTGAATTAAACTGATCTCTCTGGCCTTTTTGTGGAATCTTTCTTCCAGTTCTTTTAACTGATTGGAGTAATATTCTGTCTGCAGATAAAAGATTCTCAGTAAAAGAAGAACAAGACAAAGCTAGGGCAACTCATCAGCAAGAAACAGACAACCAATGAAAATGAAGGGCTAGCACCAACCTGATGTGCAAAGTTTAAAACTACAGGGAATTATAATGAGAAGGAAAATAAAAAAACAAGTTGAACAGTATCAACAAAATAGAGAGCTTAGAAAATAATGTTAGGTTTAGAGCTGTCTTTTAATAACAGGCCAGTTTGCTGCCTGTTCTTTGCTGCTTCTGATTTGAGGCTCCTTCAGGAGCTCTCTTCATGTAATTTTTTAATTTAAGATGTGGATTATCAGACTTCTGTAGTCAGGGTTTGTGGGTAGATGCAGTCTGGTAAACAATAACTTCTCATTGTAATGGACTGAAAATCTACCCAGTGATGGGCTTGGGCTATCAACAAGGGACAAGGGAAAACCAGAACAGAAATCAATTAATTTTTATTTTGCTGCAAATGAGGAAGGTTTCTGTTCTGTCGCTACCCACATCCTTCTCTTTCTGGGTACTATTGCTAATATCTATTACAAAGATGCTACTAGTTAGGAAGCCCTGGTATAGCCCCTGCACTTCCTTTTTGTACACCTTTTCATGAAAGGTGTTTTACCTCAAATCCTTTAATAAATCTTCATCTAACTTGTTTATCATCCTCAGATCAAAACCAGTGCTCAGCCTATTGTGAGAGCCAATGTGCTTAGGGGAAAAGGTTCACACACCAGCTTCTCACTCTCTTCTTGGGCTTGCTGCTTCAAATCAGTTAGCTGCTGCTTCAGTTTATCAATCTGTAGAAGATAAAAATCAAGGAATCATCATCACAGATAAAACTCTCCCCATTTGCTTTTGTCTCCTAAAACCACTTTATGGGATTGCACCAAGGAAAAGGTAACAAAATAAAAAAGCTCCTTTATGTATAGTGTCAGAGGTTAGGTTAAAGAGACACTCTTCAGTTGGATTAAATGTACAAAACAATCAAGGACTTCAGACCAAAACCAAGACACATAACAAAGGTACCTAGGAAGCTTCTCACAAATTAAATGGGTGGAGGGATTTATTATATGTTGTTTTGGGTAGGGGTATGTGTCTATGAGAGGCAGAAAAAAAATACAGAAGCAGATGAAAAAAGGAAGCAGAAAAAACAGACACAGCCACGTGACCCAAAATAAACCCCTGAGACAGAGCTTGGAGATGTTAGCAAGGAAACTGCCTCCTATTATTTGATTCCTCCTGTATTCAAGGAAACATCTGCTTTTGTACATTTTTTGGAAATGAACAGCAATTGTCATCACATTCTCCTAACTGGAAAAATTTGCAGGAACTCACATTTTTGGCTGGCTACTTGGATCAAAACAAGGAACAGTAAAATTGAAGTGAAAGAGCTCTGGATGAAGCAAATGACAGCAGTAAGGGAGACAGTGTGGAACCTGTGTATTGACCCTATACTGATTCTCTGTTGAGGGAATTTAGGACACTGCAGGGCACTATGGGGTACAAGGGGAAGCAGAGACTCTCAAAATCTGTCCTCTAGTCTTTTGAATTGGATGTTTGGAGTTGCTGATCTTAGATCCAGATAATAATTGTTGCTGTAACAACCACATAACATTTCCTTAAGAGAACAGAAAAAACCTTCTGCTGTAACTGATGTCAGTGGATCCCTGTGCAATGATACACAGTGATGTACCACTCCTGCTCTTAACAGCAAATTTGTGTACCTATGTTTGACTCCATGTATTTGAAATATGGCCTGCAGGTGGCAGAAGGGGCTTGGTATTCCAGGTTTGTAAAAGGAGGCAATCTCATTAACAGGTGTAGCTGTGTTAGCCTGAAGACAACTCTGGAGTCCTCTGCATTTCTTTAGGAAACTTATTCATATTTAAAGGGCTTCCTTTGACTACTTAGCACTGTTTGCAATGATTTCTGTGGCCATGCAGTCACTTTTGAGAACAACTTCATTGCAATGGGCCACAATGGAAATGATCCAAAGAAAGCTACAGAAGGTATCTATAACAGGTGTCTTGTTTCAAATATGCTCAGCTCATCACATCTACCAGCAGCACTGGCTGAAAGCAGAGTGGGGTTGGTAAAGTGCTGCACCTTACCCCCCGTACCTGACACTGATATAGCTCCTTGGAGCAGGTGCAGACTGCCTAAGGTGTACCTTGACTGTTACTATCTAGGTTACCTTTGGCTTATCCCACTGGGTGCTACAAAAAACTCTGTGTTGTGAGAAGAATCATGTGTGTGCCATGAGAGATGGGACCTCTGGCCAACACATTTGCAAGGCCTGCAGTGGAGTCAGGAGCTCCTTTTGACCCTGCTGTATGTTCACCCATGAGACTACTGCACAGCAGAATGATCAGCCTTAGGGGGACAGGGAGTTGATGCAGCATGTTGCCCAGGGCTGCCCAGAGCCCTGCACGCACCTGCTTGTCTTTCTCCACGTCCTGCTTCTTGAGGAAGCTAATCACCTCCACCGTGTCCTTCTCCACCCGGCGCTGCTGCCAGGCTAGGTCCTCGTTTTTTTTGGCCAACAGGCGGGAGGCCTCGCGGTACTCGGCCCGGGAGATCTCCGTCACTTCCAGCCGAGCCTCCCATAACGCTGCGCTGGCCTTGGCCCGATCAGCCTCCGACTCCCTGTCCACCTTGACCTCCCCTGGTGTCCCCTTCTTTGCTCTGTGGGAACAAGCAGAGGTGGGAAGGTGTGCTCCCTCGTCCCGCACCCCCACCACTCGGCTTCCCTGACCCCACGCACCTGGCCCTGTTGCCCTGGTTACCTGCCCCCACCCCCGTTCCCCTGGTTAGTGCCCCGTCCCCTCCCTTCTGTTGCCTTGGTTACCTGCCCCCGTTTCCTCGGTTACCTGCCCCCCATTTCCCTGGTTACCTGCCCCGCTTCGCGCCCTTCCCTTTCGGCATCCTGCCACCCCGCAGCCGACGGGGAGCCCCCGCGCGGGGCCGTCCTCTCTGCACCCACGGAGCAGCAACGAGCCGCGACGCTTTGCTATGGCGACGAAGCGTTGCAGGCCGGCGACGTCACTGACCTGCGACCGCAGGGTCACCCGTTGCGCGCTGACGTGACGCGCGCACCGGCGAGATGGGGAGTCCCGAGCGCTGCCCGGAGCCGGTGAGTGG